CATGATAAGGTTGCATGGCGTAGTGTTACGTCTGTAATGTACGGTGACAAAAGATCATACATCAACTTTTGATAAATTGTTGTAAAAAGTAGACTTCCTTTTACAAAGTCATCTTAAAACGTAAATTCTGTACAATTGTTTGAATTTCTAAAATTTGCGAGAAAAAGAAGCATCTTCACTTTTTCAACCGTTATATGATATAAAAACATCTCTGAAAAAGAATGGACACAGGGTTATGAGGAATTTTCAAGTTTCAAAATAAGGCTAGTTAAATATCTTAAGTTAAGTTAAGTTATACAATTTTCTTCCATGAAGTTATAGCAATTAATATAAAATTGATATAAATATCGACAATTTTTCGCCAAAAATTTTGTGATCCTTTAATTTTGCACACCAGTATATATTATTTTTTTATATATTCTGATGCTTATATATTTTGAATATGTATATTATGTATCTAATGTCATTCTATAGGTTAGAGAAAGATGCGAAATCCTGCTCTCTTTGTTAAAGAAGATGATGTAATTATCTTTAGTTAAAAAGGATATAACGTTATTACTCTTTATTCCAAACTTTCACTGGGTAAGTATATGCTAGTAAAAAATATTTTCATAAAATGTAATATCCTTAAATACATATATTATCTCTTTTTATTGTTTTATTTTTTATTGTTATTATATAATAACAACAAGATTATTAGAATACCTACATATTTTGACATAAATAGTTAACTTGTTTTTGTTGTAGATTATAGACTTGCTCCCATCAGTGACAAAAATCACTTTGCATAACAAACTATGCCATAACAACGAAATGTAAACCAAATATATTAATTAAAATATTCAACTGAGGATAGCAGTACATGGTATAAAATTATAAGATTATTTGCAGCATTGAAAGCTTTAATTTTTTAATTTCGTCAAAAACTGTTTAGTGTATTCAAATTTTTGCAGGAGGAAAAAGACAACAATGGAGTATTACACTAATACTATTATTACAAAGAAAACATACTTCACATATTTGTATTTGAATATAGTGTTAAAACATAGTTACAAGAAGAATAGTACTCATAAGCTACTAAGTTATAAAATTATATAAACTATGTTATACTTCTCTTAATTTTATAAAATCTTATATAGAAATAAATGAAATTAATTTATGAAAATCGTGTTTTTAAAATACTATTAAAGTTTTTTTACATGTGTAGTTCATAAAACAGTTCTATTTCATAAATTATATATTTATATTTATGTATACAACACATAGACACAACATATATATACAAAATTTATTTACAAAAGTATATACCTTACAAATTTTTGTATTAACCGTATTTATTGATATATGAAATATTTCAATAACCTAAAATTTAAAAAATATTCATTACATTAAGTTTCATTACATAGATTCAAGAAGTTTTTTCTTTGTATTGTGTCATAACACTAATTGTATATGTAAATATATATGTATGGAAGAATAAATATATATATCAAATAATATTATTAATTTAGTATGTGTAGTTACATTTAATTATTGTTTACGATTTCTTATTCACTTCAAAAAATAAAATTTTGAAAAATAAGTTCATTTATTTATATAAATGTATAAATCTTTGTTCCCCCTATGCTGTACCATTTTGTAACAGATATATCGTCAGAGTACGTAATCCGTCTAACTCCTGTTTTAAAAAAAATGTAATTAATCAATCCACATATGTGTCATTGGTATAAAGAATACGAATTTGCGATAGTATTATGAAAATTCTACTTTGAAGGCAACAAATATTCAGTTCTTTTAGTCCTAATGATACACAATATTAATCCTTATAAAATTTGGACTTAGTTCTCTACTGGAGATACTACTGGAGATAGAACGGTTAAAAACTAGAGCAATGATATGTGAAACAAATATATTAAATTATGGTACTGATTTATAAAATTGATAAAGCAAAAAGTAGTTAACACATTTAAAGTTATATGACCATATAACCAATGCATTTAATACAAAATTAGAATTTTAAACATCCAACTACATAAAACTTTTATATAGTTCAGTCTTATTTTACTTGATTTTTGTAATATAACAGTGAATTTATCTTAATAATAAAATAATTAAATAGCTATTTATTTGAAATATATAATCATGTTGCTACATTGAAAAGAATTTAACCAATATCAAGGTATTTTAATTAAATCTCTCAAATTTATATATTGTAGAACATTGATAAGCAAAGAAACAAACTATTATGCACATAATATTTAAAGTAAAATTTTGTACATGAGATAAGTTGTTCAATACATTATACAAAGTACAAATAATCTAATATTTATTTCCATAGTGACTTTTATGTACAAAAAACAATCTTCAACGATGAAAATTTCATAAAAATGGTGTAACACAAATATTTACATATTATGTTACTGTAATTTCTATGAAACTTCATTTTTGTTACGTCTCTTACATTTTTTTACATCTATCTTAATAATAAATAGAAATGTGTTAAATGAAACATAAAAAAAGAGTATACAAATATTTTTTGTTTTTCAAAGTTTGAGAAAATAACAAAGTATATTACCATAATATGTACATTTGATAAATTATTTTATCACAATGTGGAACGTCGTTGCAATAGATTTGGACTGATCATGATTATTTGATCATGCCCACAAATTTTATCTGTGTATACTGTAGGCAAACGTACAAATTACATGAACTATATTCACATAATCTATGTATATAGATGTTTTGTAAAGATTAGAACTTTTCTCAATTTTGTACAAATTATTTGCGCAATACATTTGTTACAAAGAAATTATAATATTTTAAAGTACTTCCATACTGTCTATGTCTATTCCAATATCAAGGAAATCATCTCCATAACTTTGAACATGCCTTTGTACAAGTGGATGCTCTGAATGATCTGGATCATCTGTTACAGGACTAGGTGGCGGATTAGTCATTGTCCGATCAGAATCGACTGGCATTCTATCCATACCTTCTCCACGTCTTAATCTTGCTTCTTCTGCTATTTCTCTTGTGGAAAGTTCTGCTTTTGTTAGCAAGGCAGGAAGATCTTTTTCTGAACCATCTATAATAAACATTAAAAATAGTTTTATTAAGAAAGAATTCTTCTTATCATATAACAAATAACTTACTTTCTAAACACTTTATTAATTCTTGTGCTTTCTGTCTTCTTGCAACGGCATCAGCTTTCCTTTGTTCAGCATGTTCTTTTTTATCATAATAAAAGATCTCACTTATTTTTTCTCGTGGGATGTGTTCATCATTTTTTACTAACCACAAATATACACCTCCTGCAGTTCTTCTTCTAGATCCATTCATTATTAACATACCACCCCCTTCTTCAATCTTTTTAGTTTTTTGAAAGAAATCAATGGCTTTTTCTTTACCAATTATATCTACAATCCTCCCTACAAAATGTACAAGTTTAAATAACTATATACATACATTAATTTAAGGTAACAACAAATTTCTTACTTATAAGAAGATCCTTTTTCTCGCTAAGTTTTGATGTTATGTCAGTAGCCACATCTGAATCAGTTGATTCAACTGTTGTACTTAAATCTGCTATTTTTCTGGCAGCTCCTTTCTGATTATCTATGTCCATCAAATTACGTTTCTTTCCTAATCTCAATTTAACATTAGTTCTATCAGAATTTGTCCTTTTATTTGTTAGCCTTTTTTCCCCATCCTTTTCATCTTCTGAGCTATTATTATTGCGGTGCTCCATATTCCAAGTCCCATTAAAAGAATAATGGTGTGGAATGTTATAACTCTCAACACTACGATCCTGATTTTGTTTTTTAGTTACACCACATAATACTAGATTTTCTGTTAAAGATTCTTCTTGTAACTGAGGACACCATATTTTATATTTATCATTTTTGTCTGACCAATTTTTTGTCATATTTCTAGATCGTTTCAGTTTTAATTTCGGTCTTTTACTTTTAATATGTCCAGAATCTGAATCAGAATCACTTTCAGTATCTGCAGAATCATCAGACTCGTCGCTATAGCCCATTTTTACATTTTCTTCTTTATTTGGAACTGCATGAGGTCTTTTTAGGACATTATATGTTTCGATATCGCTTGCCTAGATAAAAATATATTATAAAAATTAACGAATATACTTCATCGTCATAAAAATAAACATTTTACATTTAATATTTAAAAAAATGCTTTTAAGAAATATAGTATCACAATTGCAAAGTCTAGAAAATTTATATTATTCAAATAATATATTTCAATTGAAATAATTTTAATTCAACTATGAATTTTAACATTAGAACGCAATGTCTTTATGGTTATAATAGGTTAGACTCCTGTCAAATATAAACTTTTACAATATTTCACCTCATCATCTATAACTTCACCATCTTCAAGTTCTAAAGGTTCTGCTTCCATAGTATTCTTCTCAAAAACTACGATTTCTTTAACAAATAATTATTGAATAAAATTATGGTCATCCAATAACTCCAAAGGAGTCTTTTTTTTTTATGAAATCTTAAAGATAGTTTTTTCACAATTCCGTCATTGCCGCCACCACTGCTGTGTATTCTCTGCTTTTCTGTTTAGTGGTTTCTATAGGTCAATTTGATTCTATTTTATCAGGTCTTACTAACATAAGATTTTCTAATAAGAAGATAAATTTAAATCAGCCTAATAATCCTGGTTTTACTAACATAGAATTGAGAAAGTTTGGATTTTTTACTGTAAATTTTATATATTATTTAGTAGACTATATTTTAAGAAATTACATATACTGTAAATTTGAACTTGTTCTTTTAATAACTTGATTATATTTTTTATAATTTCTTTACAAAACGTCCAAATATTTTATATCAAAATCTTTTTATATTATGAATTTATAAACATTTTTTCTTATATTTCTAATAGAAAAATTGAAAAATGTAATAAGCAAATAATAAGTAATACTCTGTTATATACAATTAATAACAAAATAGGAACTGAATTTCACTTTATTATACTAATTTGTAGTTATCTTTCGATAGTGAATTTTGTTATATCTACCATTACTAATATCTCTATATAGTTGAATTTTATACACTTGCGTGTGCTTTCTGTGATCTCTTCCTCGTAGTTTGGAATTTATACATTTTATAAATTTCGTCTATTAAAACGCACGATACGATATATGAAATTGAAATAGATTAAAATTTATTATAAATGAAGATGATTTTTGCATATTGTTTGAAATGGTCAAAAAATTGTCTTCGAATAACTGTTCCTCGTTATTTCCATACTGGTAATTTGAACTTTGTATACTTTGTATCATCCTCAATATAGTTTATTTGTTACAAACTTTACTATGAACAATTTATTAAATTTAGGATAAATACCTCAGAAATATAATACAATAAATAATGTAATAATCAATGTAAATAAAAACAAATTCGCTATTATTATTGCAAAAAAAGTATAATTTTTTCCATATATTGTAAAACTAATGAAAAATTTCTTTGAACAGCTAAATCACCTGTGCTACTCATGAATACAAATATGGGAAAAAGTAATTCGAATGATTACATTATTTGGTTAGATATGGAAGTATGTTAATACCATTAAATAATTTTACACTATAGAGTACGTTTTTCTATATTATGTTACACATATTTCAGATGAGTGGCCTTGATGTAAATACATCTCAAATCTTGGAAATAGCATGCTTAATCACTAATAAAGATTTAAAAGTTGTAAGCAAGGATCTAAACGTTATTATACATCAGCCAGATGAAATATTAAACAATATGAATGACTGGTGCCTGGCAACTCATCAAAAAGTAAACATTCTAAATGAATTTGTAACAGAGGTAGCTAGATTCAATAATGATATACAAACCTTTATAGGTATATATTTTATATTTCTAGACAGGATTAATCAATGAGTCCCGTTTAAGTAAAACTACAGTAGAAAATACTGAACAAATTGTACTAAAGTATTTAAAAACATATATTGAAGAAGAAGCAACATGCCCACTAGCAGGAAGTTCAGTTTACATGGATCGCATGTTTTTGTATAAATATATGCCATTAGTTAATAATTATTTACATTATAGAATTATTGATACTTCTACTATTAAAGAATTAATTAAGTAAGTGTTAGGAATACTTGTTTTTACATTATATTTTATATATCTAATGAAATAATAGTACATAATTATTTTAATTTCAGGAGATGGAATACAAATGTACCTACTTTTAAAAAAAATCATGTTCACAGAGCATTGCCTGATGTAAAAGAAATTATAAGAGAATTACAAAATTATAAAGATCATATATTCGATCTATGTATTAGAAGTTAATATGATCATGAATTTTATTTTACAAAAGTAACAATCAGTAATATCAAAATAATAAAGAAGCAGTACAATTAGATAATAATTAACAAATGTCAAAGATAATAGAAAACTGTATATTTCATCTATCATCCCGTTAACCGCGGATTCGTTATCGAACCTGAGGACATTGTCACTAGTGTCGCGAGTGCCTAATCGCCGTGATTTTCAGAACTGTAACAATTCATTTGACGCCCACAACCTTAATCCTTATGCTCATCCGGCATATATATACATAACTTCTAGATTTTATTAATTATCACTCTAATTTTTATTTACCCATGGAAATTTTATGATTAATAAAGTTTATTTGTTTATAACCTATTTTGTAATGTCCTAATACATTGTAAAATATTAAATATAAATAAAAAACAAAATTGTAAAAATTAAGAATTTTATAAAATAATTTTCTTCTATGTAGTTTGTAAACATAAAAGATGGTAATCAGAAATTTCAGTTCATAAAAGGCATTAATTTTTTATGTATATTGTAAACACATATTTAATTACATCAATTAATTTATAAAAAAATTAATTAAATGGAATATCATTATAATATATCTATTCACGTCAAACTTAAATTTAAGGCATTAGTACAAGCAAGAGGATATTTATGTAATGTAAAATATCATGAATGTTGAAAAAAATATGTCAAAGTAAAATACATTAAAAGAATTCGAATCTGCGCTGCAAATGTTATTGGTAAATACCAAACTTTGAGATAAACGTTATAAACGTACTAACTGTTTTTTCCTTTTAAAATTTGAATATTGAAAATGTAGATTATTAACTGTTTGGTCGTAAAACTGTATACCAACTAAATATCTCAAGTTCTATCACTGATGAAAACTTTATTTAAAATCAGGTTTACGTTTCTTCGAGTTCTTTCTTGGTAAACTGCACATGCATATCATACTGACTGTCATTGCTGTACTATAATGCGCATGCTTGTTAAAGAAATTAAAGGTTATATTCAATCGTATATTGTATGACGTAATTTGCGATTAACTTTTATAGGACATAAGTATTGTCTTTAATATATATCAACAATTACGTAAGTACAATTGATTATTTTGTGTATTTTGTATAGTTTGTATTATAATAGTTATATTATAAATGTATGTAATCTACTGTATGCTTTAATTTTTATATAAGTTAAATTAGTATTACGTACTTACTTTATACGCGCGTAAAGACACAAATTTTATATAAATATCAGGTTTTGCTTTTCTTCATATTCTGTATTTTATGTAATTAATATTACTGATAAATGCATTCTCAATATTTTACAATTATTTGGCTATTATATCATTACAATTTTATGGTTTCAGTTAATTTGTTTACAATGGCATCTTCAGTTAGTGGCGGTGTAAAACCAATGAGTGTTGGTGGCCGTTTAGTGAGTGAAAGAGAACGTTTGATTGGTATGACGGAAGAAGAACGTGCATGGAGAGCTCGGTATCTTAAAAGCCACATTCTTGCACCAGAAGAGCCATTAAAAACAAAGGAATATTATAGGCATTATTATAATCCACTTCGAAGATTCTATAGAATACCTTTAAATGCATTTGAAAGATTATTAACTCCTCTTATGGTAAAAGAATAAAACTTTTAGCTAGATCATATATCAAAAGTAATTTCATTAGTTGATACTATTTTTGTTTGATATTATATTTAATTATAGGGTAATAAGGGTGCAATGGCTGTACGTTATGTCACAGCAAAATGTTTGATGGGTCTCGTTATACTTTATGGCATACGGTATTACTACAAATATAACACAGGCGTAAGAAATAATTTTTCAGTATATCGCAAATGGAATATCTTGATATTAAGTATCATACCAAAATATTTATTTTCATAGAATTGGACACGACAATCTGGTTGGATGGTGAGACCAACACGTGAAGCAAGAATTCCAGGAACTAAAGATTACAAAGGTCTCGAGAAGCCAAAAACTTTTGCTACATATGGTTTTGAGAATTCTCCCATATAAGAATTGTAATTACTATTAAGTAGTATCTAAACATAATAAAATAATGATTCAAGATATATTGTATGTTTTGTTTCTTTATTATAATTTTTTATTTATTGTTCTTTCTTTAAATAAAATGTCTCGTTTATTTCACTTACAAATTGTCCACTTGTACAGATTTAATAGATTGAAAATACATATAAAAAAGAAAAAGCTATTTAAAAGACATGAGATATAAGAATGACAAACAATTCAATACATTTATGCGTAAAATTAAATTATATTTAGGATTAAAGGTATACTTATATTTATTACGAATATTTATCTAAGAAATCCTAATATTTGTCTTCGTTGTCCTAGTTGACTTTCTTTTTTCAGTGCTTTCATAAGACTTTTATTTAATTGTAATCCTATATTTTTACCCATCTGAAAACATACTTTTGTTACTTTTGATATATACATATTCAAGATGTGGCAGAATGCATGGTACAACTAGATGACATCAACATTGTATACAACATTTTTTTCGAGAAAATTTTTTCGAGTTTGGATATATATAGACAAGAAATAGTCTAGTACATTTGTAGTTAATTACTAATGTACTTAGTATTAGTCTAGTATAAATTCATATGTACTTAACGAATTAACGATTTTTCAAATTTCATTTTCTTGAAAACAATGGTTTAAATGAGAAAATTTTATTCTATATTTTTTATTCGCTTTTGCACGTTAAATAATTTCTTACTGTTCTTATTATTTCTTATTGTTGTACTACGCACCCTATTAAACCTTACATATATATGCGTATAGGATTAATTTATTTACAATAAATAACAATATAATTACTTGCAACATTTTGATAAAAGTATTAGACTGAATGCTCCCATAACCCAACTTAATCACTGATGAAACTTTACCATTTGGTAATACAGACATGACAATACTACTTGCACTACATACTTCTTCTTCCGAGGTTGGATCCACGATATAATTATCACCAATCTGTAAAAAAATTTAAATAATAGTCTAAAATATGCACGTATATATATACAAACATTTGATGGTTTTCATATTTCAAGTTTAATATGAAATTCTTTTTTTTAATATTCATAATATAAAAATTATGAAATATATAATATAAATTGATAGAAACATACTTTGCACAGTGTAACAATAATTGGATAATTGCTGGTATCTAATTGTATGCAGTCATAAGCATCATCTGATAATTCAATATCTGGTTCTCCACCATCCAGAGTCGCAGCTGTAATTTTTGGTATTTCTGTACTATTTAATGCAGCCTTAACTGTAATTCCTACTGCATCAAAAAGATTGCCACCACACTGAAGAATCTATGTATATACATTATGTATGTATAAAATATTTAAATTATTGTTCTTATAATATTTATTTAAATGTATAAACACTATTTACCAAAATATCAACATATATTTTCCAACATTTCTTATGAGGTAAAATACATAATGTTCTTAAATCAAAAGCATTACGCGTTTGATAAGCAGCTGTTAAAATGTTACTTATTTCAGTTGCTAAATCATCACCACCTTTTCCTTCAAATGCTGGAGTTGCAGTAGCAGAACTGATACATAATACGCAATATGAAATAATTAGCATATATTTATCTTTTTAACTACTATAAAATTATCTATTTAATTTTCATATTAGAAATATAAGGGATTTCACTTTATAAAATAATTACTTGGACATTAGTAAAGGACATCAAATATTCAATAACCACTATGAGAAGCATTACATACCAATCAACAAAAAATTCTAATTTTCCTTCATTTGGTCTATCAGCGTGAGGTACATCAAGTTCTATTTTAATGCCAACAAGTATATCCGTATTTCCTATGCGTAATCTTGCTGATCCATGTGTTTGTGGCATTAATTTAGTTTCAATTTCCATTGATCGATATTCGCATCGTCGTCTACCATCATTTCTAAAGTCTGCCTTATGATTATAGAATCGTAAAAATATGACAAAATAACTTTTATTATAAAAATAAATATGTATATATATATATATATATATATATATTATATATATATACGTAGATTCTTATATTAACTTACATCTATTCCATGGAGAATGAAAGTTTTTTCACCGGAACTTAAAACAGTTTCTGCCATTATAAAATACTTCGTTTTTACGTGTTTTATAAACAAATTTCAATATGCTTTTATGTTAGCATTCAAACCGAGAAAGGGGATATAATAAATAGTCCCGTCGCCGTAATATTTTGTTGTGTTTTATTATATGCATGTATGTATATGCAATTAAAGAGACTATCTAACCTACATACAAGTGACGCAATTATTCCTTCTTACTGTAATGGTAATATCAGGTAATATTAATGTAATAAATGTACTACCTATTTAATGAAATTATAAAATTACGAAAAATATTAAATACGTTGATGACATTAAATATGTTTATTTAATTATTATCAAGGAAAGAAAAATTAATTTATTTATAATTAAACAAATTGATTTATATACTGTATAATATATCTCACTATCACTAGTTTATATATGAAACATTCATTTTAAAAGAATAATGTTACTTATATTCAGTATAAATAAATAAATAAATGAATGAATAAATAAATAAATAAATAAATAAATAAATAAATGAATATGTATATAATATGTATGTATGTATGTATAAAATTTTTCTACATTTTTACGTTATATTTTAAGTATATATAAATGTTTTATTGTACATATTTGTAAACATATTTAACAGTTTCTATCATGGTTGATTAACCGCTAAACTTATAAAAATCGTTGATTTAAAATGATGTTATTTCAAGTATTCTGTATAATTACGTTTTTATGATAGAAACATTCAATTTTTACGTAGAATATTTTGTATCGCATTTTTCGCTTTTTGAACACCGAGGCGGAACTGTCCGTATTCTGGACGTATTCTCATGCCACGGTAATAATATACAAGACTCATTTCAAAATCACCAATGCAGTATAAAGCTTCTGCTTTACAGTATATTGCGTTAGCCATGCTGACATTTTTCATTTTATATCGTAATGCATTCTCAGCATCTTGCAGTGCTTTCTGGGGCTCTCCTAATAAAAGATGACATTTACTTCGTGCTATTAATGCATTGTTATCATTTGGCTCAAGATCTAATGCCTGGCAGAGAAGAATAATATTAATTATATGATGTAATTACATTGTGCTCAAAATATAGTGTGAAAAACAAACAGTTAATAGATATATATAAATATTTCGTGTGTAATAATTTTTAACGAAGAATAGTATGTATATATGTATACTTTATTAATTATCTTCTATTACTTTGTATAATATCTAATAAGATGAAGATATTAGAGAATTGCACTATAATGGAAAAATGATATATTTTGTATCTTTTAAACGTTAATTGATAAAGACAATTACTAATAATTCGCTATTTCTATTATAATGCAAACAGTTTTATCTACTATTAGTTAATTTTATTCAACTTATTAAATGAAATGTATGTTACAGTAAAAGTGTTAATTAAATGAATATATCAATTTATTATGCATTGTCAATGTATGTTTAATGTTTCACAATGTTGTGATAAGTAAATGTATTTGTAAACAATGAAATTTACATTTTTATTAATAATTTTGCACATAAATGCTACATACATATTCTTTAGTAAATTGACTAATAGGTATGTTTATGTGATTGTTTAATAACAAGAATAATTGATAAAAGTAATATGTTATAATATTAATATGAGCTTCTTGATCGATTTTTGTTTGACCCTTGATTAGATTCTTAACTTTTTCTTAAATGCTATTTTTTTAATTTTTAGTGCTTTTTGTACTAAATATCTACATATATATCTTAAAAAAAATGCGAGATATAAAATAAATATAATAAATAAAGATAATAATACAGAAACTAATATAATATTTTACTGTGTCCTAATTTCTTTCTTAATTCTATTATAGAAAACAAATTTTTATTTACTTTTTCAGAGATCGGTTAAACTCATATAATAATATTATTAAAACAAAATTCCTTTCGAAATCAATTACACGACTTTAAACAGACGTTATGAATCAGTGTAATGTTTATGTTTAATGCAATTTTTATAGAATGTAAATACACAAAATATATCATAAGAGAAATATTTACATATAATAAATATTAAACATTTTAAATTTTATACAACTTGAAATTCCTTTGCAAGTGGA